TGCTTGTTTCTACCAAATTTGATTAAAATTTCTGTTGTACTCCAGAGAAACTGGTTGCATCGAAGGGTCACTGGGTAGAGGCCCTGCTCAAAGGAATTATCAGCCATAATTTGACAATTTCCCCACTCGTAGGATTCGAATTCCGTGTTTCTAAAGATACAATGCAAGCTCCACTCCATAACGTCACTGCTCCCAATTATGATACAGTTAACAATTATAATCATTCTAATATGCTCCATCACAATTCGACTTTCTGCTGTTCTTTGTTTTGTGAAAGAGGGTAATTATGAATGCGTATGGTCGACCATGAGGTAAGAACTCAGGCAGATAATTTGATCTAAACTAGAAGCTGCTTATAGCGATTGCTGATGCCAGTGCTTCAATCCCGTTTGACGAGAATTAAATGTTGAGCTGGACATGAATCAAAATATCAAACTAAAACAACGCAAAACACTGTTTACTTATACAGAATATCTTCTTCAAGGTAAATAGCTCAGTTGGCTTCAATAATCTTTCTTTTCGACTGCAAAGCTCCTTCTGGTCGTGCTATATAATTCAGAGCCAGAGGCCAGAAGTAGTAAGGTGATATTAACCCAGCGTAAATTTGAGACCTATTCAGTGAGCATTGCCAAAGAGCACGGCAGCGTGTGTGACGCAAATATTTGGCCTGTTAATGGACTGACGAAAATATGTTCTTTCGTATAGTTTTTCTCTCTTATGTGATCCACTCGTTTGCTCCCTCTCTTAGTAGAGAAGATGTTCATTTCTGACTTCACCTATATACACTTGAAGCTGGCTAGCAATTGTTTTGAATTCTTAACGACTAGTCCGCCGTTTCTGCCTTTTGGAGATCATTTAGAACAGCAGTCTCAGTTTATTAATCTGTTTTTTGGACAAAGTGTATTTGTTTAGATATATTTTTTTCTCCCCGTAAAAGTACACTTTATCCACTAATTATTTCGATGTTCTTGATCGACCTAGGCCTCCTATGTTTGTGCCTAGGAGGGTAAACTCCATCGAGACGTTATCCTGACATGCGATCTCTTAGTTCTGTCACTTGGTCGTTGTTGGCTCTCGAGTGCGTAATTTTTGAGAATGTTTTTCTAGGCTTTCGTAAAAGAACATTAGATAAACTTGCAAACCAGATATTCATGGGTAAATGTTTCCATGTCAGCTGGTTTCATATTCTTTTCAAAGGACACAACTTAGTCGCCAATTTAATCAGTTTCTCAAATATCGCTGGTCGGCAACACGTTATCGATCAAACAATGTTTTCTTCTTGATCCGAAAAATCCCTGTTTACGTTAAATTCTGTACATAAGTATTCTGTACATAAGTCACTTAAGCTGTTATGCTATTTGATATCCTTTTCTTGGCCTCCTCGAAATTAGCGTGGCATGAACGACTGAGCAAGACTCGAAAAAAACTCTTTAAACATCACGTTATTGACCTCCTATAGCGACTTAAAATTTTCATTTCATTCTCTGAGGTAAAACGACATTTTAGATATGGGTATGAATCGTCAGGCGCAAAACAAATTACTGATATTTCGAAGTTAGCACCGTTTCCCATTTCAGATGAAGTCTGAGTAACCGTCCATCTTTCAAACAGCAACAACAGTATGGATCACCCTTCTGCTGATCATCACTTTCAATGAGTCACTGCAATGGCTAAGATGAATCATAACCCTATGAGGTGATGACACCAAGCAGCGTGGACGTACCTTTCGCCATTTCTGGCGAAACTACACCAGAATCAAATGCTGGCTCTGTGGTATTGCTGCTCATTTCTCGACTCGTTTACCACTAAATCCGTTGTTCAAGTTAATTCGTGCCTTAAAATGAGACCGATCATTCCCCACATGCGAACCGTGTATCTCGGGGTTCGAAGTCGACCTGTTTGCAACTGTCGTCTTACTACCAGGAATATTCAGTCGGTGTTGCGTCGAACGCAGAACCGAAATGCACCGGGCTTGAGCCCCATTCAAATCACTGGCTTTTTTTCCTTTTGAGGCTCATAAATGAATTCCGCTGCATGAGGAAACGGAAGACCACACACTATGCTTTCCGCATAGTTGCTGTCGACTCTGACTTTAAAATAATGCATTCATGCCTGATGGCATGGAAATGGAAATGAAGGCCTCATTATTACCGTCATGAGAAAAGCGTAACAATAGACCCAGTCACGAAAGTATCCGGAAGACCGATATTTCAACCGTTTTGAGGAATCATTTTTTCTTATTAATACAATGACAAGGCATACTAAACTGAATGGACTAAAGAGTGGTAGTTTTCCCTCAGCAAAAGGCCTGATTCTGTGAAGAGAGGATCGATCAAATGTCCGCTGCATTTTAATGAGTTACTGTAAGACTGTTGTTTGGGCTTGACCTTCTATGTTGCATGTTCTGTTCCATGACACCTGTGGTCTTTTTGACGGGGGTGTTGCTCGTGGTCAGTCACTTTGTCAGATTATTCTTATTTCTCAGATTTTTGTTCCTGCATTACTTCGAGTAGTCGAATTCGAGTTCTTTGAAAAATAATGATTTCTTTCTCTTAACGATTTGATTATATATGCCATGATGCCATGAAGCTGGATCGTTCTTAGGCTTTAATCGAAACCATGCCAACTCGGATATAGCATAACCGAAACGAGGTAATTGAACCTGACCAAGGTGTGGCCATTTGAGGGAGCCATTGTTGTCGATAAAGCCTTGACTCACATCTGAGCAGGCCACCGGAAAGGGAGCAGAAAATTGAACGATTCAAGAATTAAACACAGGCGATGCCCCTTTTAACGAACCACAACTCCTGTCGTTCACGCACCGTCAAACTTTCAGTTGAAAATTGACTGGGCACAAATCATGTGAAGAGGAGGAAGTGAAATTATGTCACGTTTTTCGACGAGTGTATTGTGAGGACCGTGGTGGTTCCAAAAACTGGATCTACTTTGAAAAGGTTTCAAATTAATTTCTGGCATGGCCAGGCCAACCGCTGTGGCCATTGTACACGTGTCACATGAAATCCGTGGTGCTTAAAGAACCGATAATTGTGAACACTTCAGCAAGTTCTGAAAATAGCTTTTCTTTACAAATTTCCGACTGTTTGCTCATTGTGATAATTGCACTAAGAAATTACGCTGAAAAGCACTGAAATAGGCTGGACGAAAAAGGTCGAAGATTGGGGCGTTGTTAGCGGGGCTGCTTTATTTTGACCTTTATAACTTAGGTAACGAAAAGTAACAGCATCACGGAGAGTTTTTGATTTGTGTTCGTATTATGCGTAACCAGCAAATTTGTATAATTATTCAATTAACCATATTATAACTCTCGTACACTAAAGTTAGTGTACGACAGTTATAATACCAGTGTGGATACCAGTGTTGCGTTTTGGTTAAGCATATTTTCAGGGCTGGCCATCTGATCAACTAGTTCTATACAGAACAAATATATTCCGCATTATCTATTCATTATTTATCAGTGCTCTGCAGGAGGATGCTTCTTTCTACTTTCCATATCCGCATATATGCAACATGTAGCCGAAACCAAATATTACGTAGTACCTGTTTAAAACAAGAGACAATCTTTTAAGGCAGGAGGATTCGTTACGATGCGAATTAAGTGTGGCACTGTTGATTTTTTGCGTTGTTCAGTGCTCGGTTTCAGAATGATGAATTTACCTCATGTAGCGGAACTCCGAGGGTAGCAGCCTGTTAAATATGTGTGAAGCGGCTAGAAGATATCATGCAGCATTCGATCAGCGGAAATGAAACTGCCAGATGTAACGTACAAATTAGCCTTAGCCATTAGACCGTATTTCAATCGTCCAGATCTCGCAATTGCCATGATACTTGTTGCAGAGGCGCAAAATCACCTACTTTTAAGGTTCCAGAAAAGACCGGAGAAGCATAGACGATTACTAGTATATGCAGCGTCTTGCAAATCATTTGTGCGAATCAAAACGGGTTCCAATCAAGCACAAATGGGCTGTAATTGCAGATTGCTACTTAGTTCAATTAGCGAGGCCCAGGGTCGAAATGGCCAAATTATTAGAGTATTGTACTCATGGCCCTAAGGTCGCCGATTAGAACCTTGACTTGGACAACCTGTCTTTTGTCCTGAATGTCTCTACGTGGAAAGAAAGCAGACGAGCGATTGTATTCTGCAGTGGTCACCTAAGTATAAAAAATGCCTTCAGGAAAATATGGCACTCTTAGCTTAGGGCATTGTGAGGAGATCAACACCGTGTAATATGCCTAATGAATAAAGGACATTTCAAATCATGGATGTACGAGAAAGCCACATCTTGAACATTCATTTTTCTGTTATATGACCATGGTTGAAAGACTTCGATTATGGTATGAAATTTCAAGAAAAGTCGATCAGCATCACTATACGATGAGTAAGTAGAAATTGCAGAGGTTCCAGAGAGCTTCAACTTCTAGCAAAGGAAGCAAAAGCAGATGGATAGAATATTTCGATCGAAGATTGAACCCTATGGTATTATTATCCTGTTGTTGCCATCTACGGTGCAATGCGCTTGATGGTTTCACTTAAAGAAACTAACAACAGGTATGTCTCTTGAAACCTAAATTAATGATGGTCGGCTCTTCATACAGCGTATCTCGAAAATATACATAGATATAATCATCCTATGGAAAGCTAGTTCAGAAAATTTCATAAAGTTCTGGAAAGTTCCAAATGGTGTGAAATTCAAATATGAGCTAGAAGGACAATATCTGATTTAATGTCAGATTCATCAGCACTTCTACACGCTAATTTATGCTGTGCATTTAGTCAGCTGTTGTCGATGATCTTGCCGTTTGCCTTGTTGCCGTTTCCCTTTGCCCCATCTTCTTGTTCTCCGTTGCTTCCTAATATAAAAGCACAGCTGGGCGGGTACTCACGGACCGTAAACTGAGCTAAGCTACAATAAATAAGTGAGCGCCACTGCTGCCATTGGTCTTGAAATATTCATTTCCGTCAAAGAGCCGACGATGGAACCATGCTTACTAAGCCTGAGTTTAATGGACCCGTCGACCGAGCGGCTAACCCCCATCCACTGGAGTGCTTGCAGCTGTTCGTAGCCCGCCGTCGCTCAGTGGTGCAGTATCGGTTTTCTCACCTGAATCTCGCTCTCGTTGAAGTTGCCTTGCCGGCAGCCAATGGGCACGCGAGAATCGACAACCTCAACCTTGCCGTGGCTGCCTGGATGTAATAAACAACGCCGAGAGTGATGACAGCTGCTGATTTCTCAGGAAACGATCGCCACCGGATAGATGATCGGCCGGTCGTGATCGCAACGGTGTACGTTTCTTTTTGCCCCCTCCCTCCGCATCCACCCTCCTCTTTGTAACATCGCTAGGAGCATCGATTTTCGGCAAAGGGGCGGTATTTACGTTTGACAAATATATTTTTCATCACTACTAATGCATTTCATACGCATTCTGTTACCATCATCCTATTTCGCCGTGGTGAAACCATTCACTGGCCAAATATGAAAGCACTTTGCCCTTGGTCGATTTGCACAGATTCATTATGAATCATACCCATAAGGCCTAATGTATATGGTGAAAGGTTCAAAAACATTATAAATGGTGCTTCAAAGAAGGTAGCTTATCGACATATTACTTTATGGCAACCATAAATGACGTTGGGTCAATAAATGTTAATGATGTATGAGTAGCAGATGACTCCATTCATGCAGGACACGTGAATTGTCGCCACAGTCAGACTTGCGGTCATCGATGCTACCAAGGCAATGTTAGTGGAAGCCTTGGTGTCTGGTAGGGCCGCCAATGTTGAACATGTCTGAAGTGAGAAGCCAGACTAAGTGCGATAAACAGTGAGTATAGCAGTCTTTGAACTGACCATTTTGGAGTTAAGAGGAAATCCGAGAGGTCGTTCATCGCATCGGTCTTCTCGCAAAAGAAACTTAACAACAGCGCCGGTCCAGTGGCAGGATTTGTGTCGACAAATCCAAGACAACCTACCGTGGAGTAACCACTTTTTAACCACATGGTTATATTAATTTTAGAGAGAAAAAATTAGGAAGGGAATTCTCCTATGTGGAAAGAAATTTCCCTGAACAAGTTTCAGTACAAAACAATAACTGACATGATCTGAGATATCAAGGGTTGAAAGTGACAAGAAATAGGTGGGAATAACGCCATTTGTCATTTATGTTACCTGCTGATGAATATGTAGCAGAACATTACTCACCGACTGAGTCATTTCAGCCACAGTCATTAGACAGATTAATTTAACGGTGTCAGTTGGCTGCCTTGATGATCATGGGCATTGCCAATATATTATAAGGTCAGACTGTTGATCATGGTTGATCAATAGCTGTTGTCATGTTATGCATCGTATCTGATAATAGATTAATAAATGTTAATAATGCACGCCGTTATTCTGAACACTGAAGGACTATCAACAGATGAAAAGAATTTTGAAACTGCTGCCCCCACGACTTATAAGCCTGGTGAACTGTGAAGAGGATGAAATGATGCCCTGTTCTGATTGATGAGGCGGCATGCATAGTTTTAGGAAACATTTCTGCACCAGGTTTCTTCGATCCTATCTGTTTAAGTGACGTGAGTTCTTAGCCGGGTGCTACTTCATCGATTCTGCTAGTCGTATTGTAATTTTTCGTTTGGTATAACAACTTTTCCACATAGAGTGGGAGGATCAATTAAAATTGTCCACCAGTTCTACAGGCGCCTTTCAATCAGAAATTCTACCTCCTGTGCATTTCCGTTAGAAGGATGAGAAAATTCATTAAACTCAATTCACCCGTATCTCATCAGTAGACCGTTTCAAAATCAATGACTGATTTTCAGGAATACGGGAAATATATTAAACCGTACTTCGCTCCTAGGAATACTCTAAATTTCTAGAGACTTCTAGAAGCAATGGGACGATGCGAGGAACCTGAAGATCTGACGCAGAAATTTGTGCCGCTGACCGAACGTATTAACAAATGCTTTTTCTGGAAGATCTTCGGTATTGCCAGGTTACACTCTTACCGTCGAATCGAAGTATGTTCTCAGATGTCTGATCATGCTGTTGTCGATGCTTCCTTGTGTGGCATTCATATGCAGGCCGCTGGGTGAGAAGGTATTTGTCATGTCGCTGAGCGAACTGTGTTCTGGTAATGCGAATACGTTCTGGCGACAAATATGTGGCTCTGCTATTCAAAAAACTAATAACAAAATGAAGGAAAGTTCCCAATCGTTAGGCAGTCGGTTTCCCTTACACTTCCATGAACTGGAACCCTTCTGTTCACCCAGCTTATGGTACAGCACTGATCTCTGTTTTCAGGAACGGCCTACAACTGAAGGCAGAATCAGCAGCTAGGAGGCAAGCATAGCATATAATCCCTAGTTTATCTCCGACATAATTTTACTCATTCATCCACCTTAGAAGAATAAGAAAGGAGTGAAGCGACTCAGACTCGAAACCGGGACCTCACGGTTCTGAGTCAAACGCTC